GAGAAGAATGAACATCTAAAATTTCAAGTTATTTGGATTTGTATAAAAAAAAAAATTTTAAATTCAAACATGTAATGAGGACGTGATCATCAGATCAACGCAGATTGAATCCGGTATAACGGTCACGACCTCATTTTGTATTTGAATTTTTCATTTTTTTTTTCTACAAATCTTAATCATTTGAAATTTGAAACGTCTCTTTAAAAATAGAAAAATCTAATAAAAGTATAAAACAAATAATTCACAAAACATAAATCGACTAAAGCACCCCCTAAACATTTTAGGGGTATTTTGATCAATTTATATTTTGCGACTTATTTGTTTTATATTTTTATTATGTATGTCTTGATGAGAATAAGGAATGCCTAAAATTTCAAATGATTTGAATTTGTAAATAAAAAATAAAAACTTGAATACGAAGTGAGATTATAACTGTCAGATCAGCCCATATTGAATATAGGCCGTTAACTGATACAATCAGCTGTGCCCGACATAATCCACGGGAGAAATGGACCCGGACAAAACCCTCGCCGTCAACTCGACGCAACCTTTCCTTTCCTTTTTTTAGTGCTTCTAAGGATAGATTCAAACTCACCTGAATCCCGGAATATTGACTGTGACCTGCTTACCATTTTGTGTTGCCATCAATCAAAACTTTTTTTAGTGCTTCTAAGGATAGATTCGAACTCACCTGAATCCCGGAATATTGACTGTGACCTGCTTCCCATTTTGTGTTGCCATCAATCAAAACTGGGCTGGCTAATCCCTATTGCCGAAAGATATTATGATCCCGAGGGAGTAAACTGTCCATTGACTCTGTCGGGTAACATGCCACCTGAGATTAATTTTAGGAGCTAAAAATTTTGGGATGTACTTTTTCAGGTCATAGATTAACTCTAATAAAAAAATTCCTAATTGTATCTTATAATGTCTTGAGTTTAAATAGAGACCGTCAATTTTCAGAGGGTAAGATGTAATTGTTAAAACACTCAAATTTCAAAGTTCTTTTTATTTTTTTGAAATAATCATCTAGTAGTTTTCAAATTTTCAATTAAAAATGTTCTCCAAGCCTTGTAACCGTGGGAGTGGAAGTAAATTATGCTCCCGAAGGAGCATAATACACGTGCTCTTGAGTTTTTGTGAGCTATGAATAAGATGAGATAGAGATGCCCAGAAAGCCTTTGTGGGCTGTGAATAAGATGAGAAAGAACGGGGTGATCAGAGTCGCATGAGAAGCACCGAAAGCAAAGGAAACAAATCATGGAGGAATCAAGCTGCTTGTTTCCCACGCGATGAGCTTAAGGCGAAATCAGCTCCCTTATTTATAGCTATCACAACCCCTTGTTCTCACCCATCACCTAAATACAGAAAACACAGAGTGCGAGAGAGAGAACCAAAAGAAGGTTACCATGGCTTACTATGGTTACTCTTCCTACGAATACAATGAGCCCCAGCAACAGATGGAGAGGTATGGTGGATCCTACAACTCAAGCATGGCTGGGAAGCAGGCGCCGTCAGAGAGCCCGTGGAACTCTATTTCTGGCTCTAACTTTCCACCAGGGACTGATCCGAAGGTGGTGAAGGCGTTTCAAGCTGCAGACGTGGATGGGAATGGGTTCATTGATGTGATGGAGCTGAAGAGGGTCCTCTCCTCCATTACCCAGACCAATTTCAGCCAACGAACTATTCGCCTCATGATATCTACTTTCACAAGATCCAACACCAACCGAGTAGGCAAGTCTCTCTCTCTCTCTCTCTCTCTCTCTCTCTCTCCTAATTAGCTTACGAAGATGAAAATGCGAAATGCAGGGCCAAAGGAATTCATGAGCGTGTTTGAGGGCCTCAAAACCTGGCTTGTAAGCCATCCCTCCCATCCATGAAGAGAGGCAAATGCAGTATTTGACTGCTAACTGGGACTTGCCCGAGTAACTCAGACTGCCATCCCTAAGCCAACTTGAGTATTCCTAACTCTTGGATTTTAAAAAACCTATATATATATATATATATATATATATATATATAATAAAT